TTTGCAGTTAGGGAATAGAGACCCTGAGAGGCTGTACCTTGGAACTAAATTCAAAAGATATAAACAACCCTTAAAAAACAAAGGAAAGTGCGGAAGCCAACATTTGGGTCTAAATAGCAAGTGGCAGGCCCACCATATAAAAGTCATCTAGGCTGCCCTCTTTCCACCAGGGACCAAGTTACCCAAGAGCCCTAAGTCTCCATAAGACACTTCCTTTGGGAGTCCTTCCCTCCTCCTTTTTCTTCCCTTGTCCTGAATACTAGCCCTTCAGTTTTCTAATGAGGCCCATCTGGGTAGGAATGCAAGCCTAAAGCAATAGGATGCTGTCTCTCAGGCAGTCCCATGTGCACCAAATGCACAATGTCCACTTCAGCTAAACCCTCTTAGCTTGCAAGAGGTAGCAAGCTTTATTTGAGTATTAATAACATATGTGGCCCTGATAATGAGAGGCAAACTGAATAAGGGGAATGGAGCTCAAATCAATGCAAAAGCCAGCTGCCCCGTCTTCTCTCTCTGTAGGCATAAACCAGCTGTTTGGAGGCAGGAGGGGAAAGTCAGGGGGAAAACACAAAAGGGGAGGCCTCTCCAATGAAGTCCTATTTATTTTTTTTAAAGGTTAAAAGGCTTCTTTTGAAATGGGAGCCTAGAATTCAGACCACTACCCCAAATAAGGCCTGGCATTATCTGCAGACATCACCTAATCCTCCATTGTGTATTAACATTCTTCCAAAATAGGGGAATTTTCTCTTTAAAGAACCAATCCTTTTTAAAAGTTTTTAAATTTTACAGTTTTGGTTTAGCTAATGAGAAGAAATAGAACTTATCAAAAAAATTGGTTTCTGCAGACTTTTCTGCTAAGATTTTGTTATTATTGTTCAGAAATTTGGACTCCTACTACATAAGAAATATTTGTCTTTTGAGATGCCAAACAATATTTACCTGATTTGGAGCTGAGAGTTAAGTTTCTCTTCAAATATGCCAAGGTTTTCAGCCTACAATACCTTAGTTCCCACCACTAAATCTGCCTAAATCTCAGTGTTTTCCCAGTGAAGGCAGCTGCATTATGGCACAGCTTAAAGGCATCTGTTCTTACAGTTTGCACTACTGCAAATTCATTATACACTTCATTTAGAAGTGTCATTCATTCATTTGCTTTCTTAAATCATTGTGTATGCCAATGGGCAAAGTGGAAATCAGTAAAATTTCCCTGCACCTCACATCTATTCTCTGTTAATTTATGCTTTTTTAAAAAGAATAGCAAACTTTCATGTAACACCCCCAAATGTTACATCCTAGGGCAGTTAGTTACAAAGCAGAGGGATCAATCAATTATATGAATCAAATGCAAAGACTATAAAATATTCAAAATCAGTCATGTGCTATTTGGGAGAGAAACCTATCTCTTTGGAGCATCACAGTCATTAAGTGGTACATTTCTGATTTAGTTAATAAGAGTCCAATTATATTTGAAATGTAGATTAATTCTCCTAAAAGCCTGAATCAATTTGGCAAGGACACCTCAATATTAATGCAGCCTCCTTATGGCTTCCATAGTAAGATTGTGCCCCCATAATCGTGATCAGCTTATTGATACAAATACCTCTACCCTTTAGTTAATTCAAATAGAACATTTCATAGGTGCTTTCAGCTGATGGGGTGGTAAATAATTTTTCGACTAAAAATTGAAGTGGGTTGATTAGGAGCCACTTTTTTCTGTTTTGCACAATAAAAAGATGAACTGCGTGATTCGCCAAGCCAATTTGCAGAGCAACCTCTCCTCTCTAATTGCTGCCAGACTAATGTAGTATGAGCCGAGTCCTAGGAAGCAGAGAAATCCATTTACCCAGGCATGACATTTAAGTAGCAAACACAAGTACTGGATTTCTCCATTACCTTCATTTCAGCCCTGCTACATTCCACCTGTGACCTTTCTGTGATGAAGGCAATGCGCTTTCATACAATTTGGTAACTATAATAAAGGTCCACTTGAAATTTTTTGAGAGGGGACTAAAAACATTTTTTTTTACAAAAGCATAATTAAGTCCATAACCAATCTTGCTAATTCCCAATAATGTACTGGAAAACCAAATTATTTGATAAATGCTCTGATAAATGCACATCATACCAGAGGAGGAAAAGTGCATATTTCCTCCATCACAAACAGCTCTGTGTTTGTCACCAACAGTTCCAGCCTTGATTAGTGCTTTTACTTCATATAATACTTTCTTTCAACAATAAGAAGCAAGCAGGTTCTCCAAAAACAGCCTGGGCTCCAAGCATCTTCAAATAGAATCCAGATAGAAACACATATCAAATAAGAAAAAAAAAAACCTGTACCTTTACTTTTCACAACTGTCCTAAGACATTTTAGTCTCAGCCATAGGTTCTCCAGGTAAGTTATCATCAAACTGGTACAGAGATGCTCTGAGGGATGTGTCTTTTTGGAGTATGATCACTACACTTCCTAGTGCAGAGAACACTACTTGGAATGTAGTAGATGGCCCATTAATTTTTACTGAAAGAAGGATGAATGTTTTACAGAGCCCTTGAACTTTGAGGGTGGGGAGAAGACCAAAGCAATGTGTGTGTATGTGTGTGTGTGTAAAAATCCTCACCTAAGGACATATTTTTATTAATTTTAGAGAGAGAGAAACATCGATGTCAGAGAGAAACATTGATCAGTTGCCTCCTGTAGGTGCCCCAAACCCACAACCTTTTGGTGTAAACAACACTCCAACCCACTGAGCCACCTGGCAGAGGTGGCCAAAGCCTTATTTTTAAGTGAAGCAAACTAAGCCAATTTTATTTTTTTCTGTTTGTCCCCCAGGGAGTTACTCTCAACCTCCAGAAAAGAAATAATAAAAGAAAATTCAGGATTTTTACTTCCTATTGAAATACACTTGAAGTCAAAGCATTTGCTTTAGGAATGAGTTCAGAAGCTGATTCCACAGAAAGTCAACCTCAAATACAGCATCTTCAGTTGCACACAAGTCTGTGCTGTGCCGCAGAAATAGAGGACAGTCCTTGGAGGGTATGTTATCTGAAAGCTAAATGCTTTACCCTTTTCTTTATTTTTGTTGTTTACTTAAATTGCTTTGGTAAAAGATTTATCCACCAGAGTTCTTCCTGCTGTAAATTTAATAGCCTAGAGATTAAAACCATCAAGCTCGAGGTTAGAAAAGAAAATGCCAACCTTGTTTCTTAATGACAGCGGCCCACCCAAAGACATTTGAGTACCATCAATAATATGCTTGATGCTTTAACAAGTATATTTTAAAAACAATTAGGTATGCCAGTCTCAGGCTGAAAACAATTTTAAAATAACACAAGCATTAAGTCCCTACCTCTTTACAAAGTAGCGATTTGCAGTGACATGATTTACATCTTGTGCACTGTTTCTGCAAAGTAATTTCCACAAGGTGGGGGAGCACATGTTTAGGAAGGTTCATGCTTCTGTAGGTTTGGGTTTTTCCTTCCCTATTAAAAAACAGAACTGCATATAATTGACTCTAACAGCTTTGAGTAACTACCAAAAAACTTCACCAATATGAAAAGCATTGATACTTGTTGCTAAGAATGAAAACTTAATATTTATTCATTTTCGACTCTGACTTATTAAAACACGGGAAAATGGAAGATAGTAGGCAGAATAAAAAAAAGAGGTGTAGGTAAAGAATTTGCCTGAGGAACTTTCTTCTGAGAAGGTATCCTTAGACTGAGATTGCACCAAAGGTCACAGAGGGTGTCAAACACCACTTGAGTTCTCGGTGGCTGTCACTGGGGAGGCTGGGTAGCAGCTCAGTGCTGGATGTTGAACTGGGAGGACAATGACGACATGGTTCACACACACCTGGACAGCTAAGCCTAGTCAGTACAGTGGGTTGTAAGGCCCATTGAATGGTATTTCCCATCCCAGGGCTGAGGCACAGCACATGGCTGATTGAAGACTTGTATTTCAGGGGAAGCATTTGGCAGAGCATAATATAAGACAAGAAATTCAATGGCAACAGGAAGGTGCAACACTGGCATTCTACAGCCAGGTCCTGTGGTCAAGCCAAGACCATGTAGATATATAAAGGTATCTTGTGACTTTTCAGTTAACTGGAACCAGTATGTCTGGGCAATCATCAAAGTTGGGGGCTCCACTTGTTTTCTCAAAACTGTCCTGGTAAAATTAATACAACCCCTTTCTCAGTTGGCATAATTCCACAGGAGCAAAGTCTGGTTCCTTCACATTCAATGTAGTCAGTGCTTCAGGTTCTGAGGTCTACTTTTGAAATGCCCAGATGTCTTTGCCTAGAAATCCATAGCTGCATAGCTCATCTTCAACAAAAGCAGGGGCAATAAGGTGAAGGTATTAAGAACACAGGCATCAATCAGAACCACACAAATGGGTTCCACGTGATGCTTCTGCCATGTACTAGCTGTGTAACTTTGGGCAAGGTAATTTAGCTCTCTGAGCCTCATCTGTAAAACGAGGACAAGTAATTTGAGGATTAAATGAGATAAGCCATGTTGCGTATTTAGCAGAGTACTTGACACTGTGGGCCACCCAGAAATGAATACTGTTGTGATTATCAGAGAACAAAATGCTACACTGGAAAGAGCTAGACTCTTACATTTGGGCCACAAAAGGCAAAATGCTCCCAACATGAGCCATAGCTATTGTTCCACCTCAATATCGTTCTAGGGTTATATCGAGATATAAATAAATAATTGACTAAAATATTGAGTTTTCTGATTCTGGACATTTTCATTGCCTTTGGCTTCTGCCCATGTCCCAACTGTTGCTATTTCTACATTGCCTCTCCTTGGAAGCAGTTTGGTGTTTACTCTAGAGAAGTAGTTATTTTAATACAAGTTCAAACCAAATGTAATGAGTAAAATAACCTTCTGGGGAAAAAAAAAGTATCATGCATTCCAGTGCCAAATATTTTCAAATTATTCATTTGGTTGATGCCTCTTATGTGATAATTAAGAAATAACTGGCTCACTTCCAGACACCGAGCCAGTTGGACTCTCTCGTTCATGTACCTCGCTCTGCTTCCGCTGCAACCACGTCTGACAAACCCGATACGGCTGAGATTGAGGAACTTGGTAAGTCAAAACTGAAGACAGAAACACAAGAGAAAAATCCACTGCTTTCAAAAGAAAGTACTGAACAGGAGAAGCAAGCCAGCAAATCATAATGAGGGCCCCCACCGCCAACACGCACTGTACACTCCACAAGTATTGCCTGCTTAATTTTACTTCTTTTAGAGGTTTAAGTTCCTAAGACACAAAGAGGCTGGATCAGTTTAAATGACTGTGGTGCCCCTTTTCACATCAGAGAACCACTGACAAGGCTGTACCTGCTTCTCCCATCTGCCTGTCTAGCTGGCAGGGAAGGAAGAGAACTTGCGTGTTGGTGAAGGAAGAAGATGGGACAACAATGAAATCTAGAGTGAAAACCAAGCTGTTCCAAGGTGCCCTGCAGGCTGTAAAATGCAGTTTAATCAGAGTGACATTTTTGTTCCTTAAAACAATTTTAATTATTGGAATGTGCAATTTGTTAATATTCAAATAAAAGGTTTTAAAACCTGAAGAAAAAAAAACAGAAAGAACTGCATGTGGCAGTGTAGATATTTAGGAATTAAAATGTGTATATTGTCTATTCAAATGGAACAACCCACCCCTTGAGGAAAAAGTCACTCTATCAGGAATACTCATAACTACCTGAACCTGGGTCATTCCCACTGATCTGTTATTAATTCACGAGTGCTGGCTCTATCAAAATGTGGGTTTTTTCTCACAGTAAGATGAAATACAACTGAGGTCTTAAAGGAGAGATAAATTTTGCATGGGAAAATATTGAGAGAGAGGAAAAGAAGATCGGAGCTATAGAGAAAGGGAACAATAAAAGATGGAAAGGGAGAAGGAGGCTAGAGAGCAGTCGGGCCTCAGAGGGGCTCTAAGTTCCAGGTATGCCAGCCGGGAAAGGCAGCTAGCCATTCACCATGCATCCTTTTACCAAGAGCTGTACCCAGCTCCTGGACAGTGATGAATAATATCCGGGGCTGCACATCAAACTTAAATAAGCGCTAGATACTCAGATCCAACAAAGGGGTTATTTCTTGAATGGCCCCTGAGACTCCAGGTTAGAGACAGTTCTGTGGTACTTACCGTATTTTTCAGACCATAAAATGTACCTAGGTTTTAAAGGAGGAAAATAGGAAAAAAATTTTTGAAGCAAAAAAGTGGTAAAATATTTAATAACATAAATAACATAATATTTCACCAATGTAAATGTAAACAGAACTCAACACCAGCATTAATAACCATTATTCCTCCCAAATTTGGGGTGGGGGAGTGCGTCTTATAGTCCAAAAAACACATATTCAAGAAGCTAAATACATACAATTTCTCCTCACCCTGAATACTTCATAATCTTAGACTTTTGACCTTTATTTTTGGCTTTCTCTATGTCCAGACAACAAGTTTAGGTAAAAGTGAAAGGGAATTTGGAGGCCCTCTAGATTTTAGTGTTCAGGGACAAAGCTTCCATTATGCTCTTTCCAGTGCATGTTATTTTAATAAATTTAGAAGAATGTGTTTCAACAACAGCACTGTGGAAACATACTGTACTCTGTCTCAGTGATTTACACAGAGGTAGACAGGACATCTATTTCTAAATGTTCAGTCACATAAATTACCTTAAGCCCCAGACCTTAATTTTGAAGGAAAATTAGATTGGATCTAAATAATTAAAGACAGGTAGAGAAAAATTTTAATAAAACTTCATAATTTGACTTGCAGTTCCTTGAGCCATTAGTACTCACTTTCATTAGATGCATGATTACCCAGTGGTTGGTGAGTATCAGTTAATAACCTGAACATTTGTGGGGCCTTTATACCTAACTGAAAGCTGATTATGTTTATTAGAAGTATACTTTCATCTGTTTTCCCAACCTGAATTGCCCGTTCTTCCTTTATGTCACTTCTACCTTTTTTCATATTATTTTCATATAACAATGTTTTCCAAAATATAACCATACCATATGTTTGTATGCTGCACTTTACAGAGAACTTTTTGCTATTATTGAATCTACATTATGTAACTTCAAGTTTAAAATAAATCTTTCATTATAAATCCCTAGAAGATCATGGCGGAATTTATGTAACTTCTCGATACAGTTCATAATCAATATTTTCTGATAATGGTACATTTTTTAAGATAACGATGAAGCTATTTTTAAAACCAAAGCTTCCAAACCATAAGCAAGAGCTTCATCAACTCTGTTCACAATACGAATTTAAAAGACAATGACTCTTACAATCACATTGGAAAGGATGGTTAATATTAATGAGGAAAATGAATGAACCAGGCCATGGCAGCAGAAAATGTCCAATATTTGCAATTCTATACTTTACATTTGTTAATAAATTTAGTTATTTTGGTGAATAAGTGATCTGTGGGCAAGTCACTTATTAGTTCTGTGGGACCACTGTGCTCTGAAATTATTTTAAAATATTTAATTGATCTAACTTGAACTAAGAGGACAAGGCTGAAACACTTTGCAGCAAAACAGAAATTTCACTGAAACTATTCAATGTGCCCTGAGCTTTGTAGCCTGAAAAGAACAAAAGCACTCTAACCCTGATGCGTGACTGAGAAAAACTCTTATATGTTATTTCTACAAACAGTTAACAACTGTGCCAAAGACACAAAATCCTCTAAGTATGTACAGATCGGCAATAATTTCATTTCTTTATTGTACCAACTAATGGATACAGGCTATTTCTTAGATGATATATAATTGTTACCTTCATCATTTTTATATTTTACATGACCTTTAAATGGTAATATATTCACATTGTTCAAGGATCAAACAATATATAAAAGTATACAGTGAGTCCTGGCTGGTGTGGCTCAGTGGATTGAACACTGCCCTGCAAACAAAAAGGTCGCCAGTTTGATTCCCAATCTGGGCACATGCCTGGGTTGCAGGCCAGCTCCCCAGTAGGGGGTGCATGAGAGGCAACCACACACTGGTGTTTCTCTCCCTCTCTTTCTCCCTCCCTTCCCCTCACTAAAAATAAATAAAATCTTAAAAATGTAAGTAAATAAATAAAATCTTTAAAAAGTATACAGTGAAAAGTGTCACACCACAGTTCCCATCAGTGCTCCAACAGGTAATCAGTTTTATTAACTTCTTTTAACCCTTTTAGAGTTTTTTAATACATCTAGAAGCAAACAAGAACATGTACTTTTATTTCCTTCTCTTTTTTCCAACAAAAGTTTGCCTATTATATAGTCTACTCTGCACTTTCATTTTTTATTTATAATGCAGTTTATCCTGAAAATCTTTCCATATCAATTCTTCTTTTTTTAACCAGATACATGGTATTCCATTATATGAATATGCCATAGTTTTTTTAACCATTTCCCTATTGATTTACATTTGGAATTTTTCCAATCTTTTGCTCCTACAAACAATGCTGAGATAAGTAACTGTTTATTTGTTGCAATATTTAGTCTAAGGCCATGCTTGTGAATGCTTAACTCATCACTGCCATTTTATATACCATTTCTAACAATTCAGCATTGCTCAATAGATGCAGCTGTGGGCACACATAAGAGCCAGAAGAAATGGGTGCTCTTATGCCGTGATGTACATCTTATATATCATGTACTAGATGCAAATCACCATCATCATTAAAGGCTAGAGTCCTCATTTTCATTCTTTCCTCCATTTGACAAACATTTATTAAGGATCTGTGATGCATCAAGCTCTGTTGTAAGCACTGGAGAAACTGAAGTGAGCACAGGAGGCTAAGCCCAAATTCTGTGGTACTTAGACTGTAGTGGAGAGATGCAGAAAATTAATAAGTAAATAAATAACAGCATTTCTTCCCTTACAAAAACCAGAGAAGACCAGATACAGCCTAAAGTTCAAAATGCCCCAGTGAGTAAATTACCCATCATACCCATAGTTTAGGAAGATCTAAGCAGTGGCCATTAAACCTCTGGCTTTCCTAGAGCTGAGACTTACACATTTTTAATTATTTGTGGACAAGTTTTATCTTACTTATATTCAAACTCCCAGATGAAAAAACTTTATTTTATAGAAATGTTGATTCCCAAATAATTAATCTATATAGTATAAATATAATGCAATTCCACTCAAAATCCTGGCAGGATTTTTTATAGAACTTGACTGACTGACTGTAAAATTTATCTTCCACTACCTGATATGAAATATACTATAAAGCTACAGTTATTAAAACAGTAAGCTACTGGTAGAGAAACATAGACTGATGGGCATAGACAGGAAGTCTATAAACATGCTAATACATATGAGGAATTTAATATTAACTTGACTGAAACTGCTTTTTTAGAGGTCAAAATGGCCAAAAATTGGCAATTGTATATAGCACAGTCAAATATATGATGAGAGTAACATTTTATATAGATTGAAAAGAGACAAATGATCCCAACAAATTGGCTATCCATTTGGGGGAAGGATAATTCAGTTAGATCCTTATCGCATACCAACCATAAAAATAAGTTATTTTATCAATCATATTAAGATATAGATATTACATATATGTAAATATATATTGGTTAAGGTAATTAGTGGCTAGAACAGATAAGCCCCCAAATCTCAGCAGCTTAAAACTTACGTAAAAGTTAAAACAATTGTTTCTCATTGACTAGCTCCTCTCCAAGTAGTGAGTCACATCCAGGCTTTTTCTAAATTACTGTTCCACTATCCATAGCTCCCCATTTCTCCATGGAGGTTGTATCCATTACAGTCAACCAAACAGGAAAAGGGCATAAAAAATCAGACAGGCAAGTCCCAGAAGACGGCACTTCACTTCTGCCCACATTCCATTGGCCAGAACTCAATGGCAGGGCCGCATCCAGCTGCCAAGAATGTTGGGATATCAAGTCTGGCTATGCACTCAGGAGAAAAAGGAAAGGGTCTGCTGAACAACTAGCCTGTTTCTCTCTCATTTACACAATTTTGTGCAGAAGAAAACTAGGAGGATATATTTGTGAGCTTGTGGCAAGGAAAATTTTTCTCAAGCGAAAAAATAAAAGATTGGTGAACTTGACTTCATTAAACAGAAGAACCTAACCACAAACGACACCATAAGCAAAGTTTAAAGGACAAATGAGAAACAGGAAGAATGGATTTATAACATA